AATGTCATATTTGTATATTTCTGTGTTGGAAATAATAAAAATATACAGGTCTAATATTTTTTTAGTTTTTGATTAAATATCGATAAAAACGTAAAAGTTACTCTGAGTTTATAATTATTCACAGCACTGTAGACGGTTCCTTTCAGCTGAGACACCCCATATATTTAAAAACGAACTTAACAAAATATCATAGTTGTATATTTCTATATTAGAAATAATACAAAATAAAAGTATGAAAATATGATATTCTGTTAAGTTTTCATTTCGATATGAGTCACAATGTCAAATTGATGGATAATTTCATAACTAATCGTAACAAACGGGCATTGTTCACGAAATTATTCCTTCAGTAATTAATGTACAAGCAAGCTGAAAATAGATACTAAATTAAAATCACAATGTGTTGCGACACATTTTAAGTACACACTTTGCAAACAGGACGCAACAGCCAACTCGTTAATAAGCATAGTTAGCGGAAAGATAAATTTCCCTGTTCATCATAATTTAAATAGAAACGTCCGAAGAACCTGTACAAAAGAATCGACACTAATCCGGTTCATAAACGGCCCCATCGGCGCGGAAGACGCTTGAGCGGGCGAAGCGGACCGCGCGGATCAATTAATTACGCGGACCCCGGAAAAACGGTTTTCGCTCGAAAAGCTTATTATTCGCCCATTTTGAAACTTTGATATCCCATTCCGCGGCGGTTAGATGAATGAATAATTATCCGACTCCGGTACAAAACGGATCTTGCCATCTCGGCGAGGATCCCGGCCTCACCCCGGCTTCAATTTATATAAGTCGAGGCAGGCTCTCCCCTCTCGCTCGACCCTGCCGAAAACTCTTATAATAATTCCACGATTCCCCGCTCTTGAAAAGCCGCGCGATGTTCATTTCATTATTTTTTTTTCCTTCTCCGTTCGCTGGCTTTGGTTCCTCTTCTTCGAGCGTTCCGCCGCGCCGCGCCGACTGCCAGCAACCCCCGTCGGCGGCCACCACCATCGCCGCGCTGAGAGGGTGATAAGTCGTGACGTCGACGAGGTAGAGGTGATTCCGAAGGGTAGGCGTGGCCGTAGCATACCGTCCTCCGCGGGGGGATGCGAGGGGTCGAATCGAGAGGAAAGGGTGGCTCGTGGTACGCTCCCGTTGGCTGCGCCCACCCTCCACCACCACGTGGCGCCGGGCAACGCCGCTGGTGGACGCCGCTATAGAGGCTGGAAAATCGTGTAAGAAAAAGCCGGGGAACCACCGTCGATGGAGCCACCACCACCACTCCGACCCCCACCCCCGCACACCCTGTTTTCACGACCCTTCGCCGCTAGTAGACGATTCTACTTAAGCCCCCGAATAGGTTCTCGACTACTTCATCCCCCACCCGGGCCGCGTCCGCCGTTTTTCCTCTTTCTCTCTCGACTATTGTTATTTTCCCCGTGTTTCGATGACCTGTTAGAAAACGGGGAGCGGACGGCCCGATTATTATCGCGTCCAACACCCTACCACCCCCCGCGGCCCTGTCCTCTCGCCACCATGCCGATGTCTTCGACGCGATCCTCCAAGATATCCAGCGCCAGCGCGCTGCCCGATCCGGAAACGCGCGAACGTATGTATGTAGATACGCCGAGTGCATCGAGACCGCGACACGATGCTCGTTAATTTCATTAACCTTGGTTACATTTCCGGAGAGGACAGAGACACACACTGTGATATTTCGACGACCTAAGAGAATCCCATTCCGAAATTGAATGTTTTTAAACAATTTCCAAGTAACCCCTAAAAGCAATATCCCAGTGACCCAGAACAAGTATTATTATTAATATTACGTTGCATTCAAAATTGTCTGCATGAAATATGCGATAGTTTGTAAAATATAATAATAAAAAATCGAAGAACTTTTAATTATATACCAATATTTTGAAGACTAAAAACTTCACTATATGGGGAGATATGGGCTCCGTTTTTTATCAGCTAAAACGAGAAAGACTACTAGATTATTTTCTAGATTACTAGAAAATTGAAAAAAAGGTTGTGTATATTTGTGAATTTGAAAATTCTACTATTTTTTATTCCGCTTTAAACAACGGTACCGGTGCGTGTTTTTTGTTCACATTAACCTATTATAGGTCTAGGCATTTTCTATTGTTTGTGTTTACAAACGTAAACTTAATATATATGCATGTATTTTATATAAATATAAAATAATATATATAATAATAATAGTAATAATAATATATATTTTGCTTAAAATTACTAAGTCATGTTAAAAATGATTATAAATCAACATTCCAAGTAATTATAAGAAAGTACGTAATGAAAAAATAAAAGAAATAGTCACACACACACGCACACACTCTGACAATTAAGTCCTCCTAGATCATCGAAATATCACACTGCGCGACGGCCGATTTCTCGCTGATTCGGCCGCGTGACTACCGCCCGTCGTGTGCGTGCGACGTTGTGGGGTTTAGGAGCTGCGGGTGCGTAGTCGAGGTGACAACTTATGTGCAGGAACTGGTAATTTATGCGGTGCCAGGTTTGCGATTTTTCGATGGGTATTATCCGATTGTAATTGGCTTGATCGAACAGTATTCCTATTTTCGTTTCATTGAATTAAGCACTGCTCTTTTTATTCTATTTCCTGTTTGCAGATGTTTTTCTAAGCACGCTAAGTATTTAACTGCGGATTTTCATTCATTCGTACAGATTTATAAAATGTTAGAAAGTGTATGTAATCTTTGACTAGCTTTCAAAATTCATTTTTATTGCGATATATTCGAGCAAACTGAATTTACTAGGCTGTCTAGGATGCAAAAGAGTTCATGTACCATCCGCTACGATGAATTTTAACTTTTAGTTTCAGTTCCATTAACGTTTGGACGGCAGAGCTCGGGTGATTTGGACTTTGAGTAAAAATAACGTTATTTGACTACCTAATTTCAGACAATTAATTTAAATTTTCATGTTTTATTAAGATTTATAGCAAAACTAACGCGTCTGGGAGAATCATTTTAAAAAGTATCCCGTCAAAGTTAATGAATAAAATTGTAAAAATTATGATAAGCAAACTAAGTTATGTTTTTGTCAAAAAGATTTGCTATTCGACTGTTAACCAAATTACCTAGATTTTGAGGAAAATTTTTGGGTTGACTTCCGGTCTTAACGCCTTAACAAAAATTGATAGTATTTTTATTTTATTTTTTAATAACAAATCATCTGTTCGACACTTTTCGCTGATCCCAACGTTCATAACATAACATACGAAAATTAATATTCGCCTAACGATTCGCAGTTCAGTAACAATACCCTATATCCGTTATCAATGCATAAATCTACTTACAAAGTATTGTATAAGAGGAACAACGCCGGTGCGAACGGACGATATCCAGCAGCACAATTAAATCGGCCCAATAATATTCTAATTTCCCGGAGCCGTCGAACTGGAATCCGCTCCATCGGATCGCCTGAAAAAGGTGGTTTCGATAATTACATTATCTCCGGCGGCACACGGCCGGCCCCATAAAATCGATAGAACCACGATTGCCGTCTAGAAGATTGCCGGTGGCCGATCGCCAAGTCGTCCGGCCGGGTCCGATGATTATTAATATTATTATTATTATTATACCGGGCCAGGATCGTTCACCGGTTGCGTAATCGGTCGGATCATTAAATGCGGCGCGGTTCGGTTCCGTGTAGCGAAGTGGCCGGGGCCGTAGGAGCGTTGGCGGTGTAATTATACCAGCAAGAAAATCGCATTGCGCGAAACGATCTCGTACAACACGTACACGCGCAGATGGAGGCGTCTCGTTATTACGAGACCGCACACCGACGAACACAATACAAGCGCGCCGCTCGTGGATGGTAGTGAGAGATAATAATGTTGATAAGGGTGTAGAGGGAACCGCTCGGCGATCCCCTACTCGCGACAAGAGAACGAATAAAAGAGCGCAAAGGACGTAGCAAGAATACAGGCCGGCGGGTGGGGGGATGAGGGGCAGCGGCGCGGAGCGGAGGTGGAGGAATAGGAGAAAAGAGGAGCAGCGGGAGGAGGAGGCGGATGAAGAGGATGAGGAGGAGAATAAGAAAAAGAAGAAAGACAGAGGGTGGAAAGGAGCGAGAGATCGATGTGGACGAAAGAAAGAGGAACGGAGAGGGTGACAGCACGCCGCGTGGTGCCGGGGGGTGAGTGGGCGTGGCCACGGACTACCCTCGAAGCAAGCGATTGGACGGTCCGTTGGTCGGCTCCGTCAAATAAAATCCAATCGTTAGGAGCAAAGGAATGCGAGTCTCCTAGCTTTTTTCATCCCCCGTCGACTCGCCTTGCCTCGCCAGCCCCTCTAGGCTCGAGCTTCACCACCCTACTCTCCTTCTTCGCTCCGTCCCTTCCCGCCTCCCGTTCACCTTTAAACGGGGGTGCGCGCAGCGCCGTTTGATGGGAGTATGATTTTATTACGGCATTACCGAGCGAGCCAAACCCCGAATTGCTCGGCTTATAGTCTGTATTATCTCACCTAAGAGGGTAACGGAGGGGAGAGGGGATGGAGGGCAGACGCAGCCGCCGTTGCCGCCGCGTTCGAAGGGGTGGAAGGCACGAGGGGTAGAGGGACGGGTACAGAGTAACACACTCCTTCCTCCACCTCCTCCTCCTCCCGCCTCCTCATCAACCGAACCCTCTCCTTCAACCCCCCCTTTTCTATGTACCACACATAAGTCCGCTGCCTATACGTTGAAGGGGGCTGTTTCGTGAATCCGTGCTCGGCGGAGGGGGCAAGTGAGCTAGGTATATGCCTTTGTCGGCTTTCATTCGAGGGTTGCACGCTCTCACGTTGCGCTGCCGCTACGAGCACCCCTTCTCGGTCTTTCTTTCTCTCTGGCACTCCCTGTCTCGCTTTCTCGCCCCTGCCCGGCACGGCGCGGCCCGGCCCGGCCCGCTCTCCCTCTCTCACCCTCTCTCTGTCGCTCCGCACGCTCGCGTGCACGCCAGTTGACATTCCGCTGCCGAAATCGCATGTTCCTTCCCCGGCGTGCCGTTTCGTGACAGTTTCCGCCAGTAGCTCCTTGCGGCGGTTCCGTGAGATGTCCCGCGTGCTGACCGGCCGCCCCGCGAGTTTCAGTGACCGATCAACCGCATCCACTCTGAAAGGATCGATCTCCTCCGGCATTTCCGTAGTTTTCGTGTCCGGCGGCAGGACCAGCGAGCGCACGTGTGCGAATGGAGCCCGGGAACTGTAGTGATCGTCCTCGTTCCGTCGTCCATCCTGTGATCAGTCGTGTTCCACCGTTACAGACGTCCACCTGAAACTGTGTCACGCGTACTAGACCGAAGGCGACACGTGGAAGACAGATCATCCGGTCGAGTGTAACGGTATTGTCATCGGCATTGGTCAATGGAATCCGTGAACGAGGGTGCGTGACTCGATGCTGCAAGCATCCTCTAAAGGTTTCTAAGTCAGTACGCTGAGCGACGCGGAGGAATCGTGCTCGCGGACGATCGACGGGCAACAATCTCGAGAGAGGCATCGCGGCGGGGGCAGGGTTACAGGAGCGGGCCGTGATATGTTCCCTTCGTCAGCGGCGATGCTGAAGAATCTGCAACAGAGTGCAATGACCTCGCCCTTTTTGATGGAGAACCTGCTCCAGAGCAAGGTGTCGCCCGGCGCGGATCTGAACAGCCTGACCTTCAACTGGTCGGGGTTTGCCAGCCTGGTGGCGATACAACGGGAAAGAGAATGCGAGGCCAGCCACAGGATCTCCAGGGATAAGATTTCGCCGTCGAACGGCGGCCAGGAGCAGTTCGACCAGAGATCATCGGCGCGCGGCGTCGATCGACAGAACCCGATGCTGGACTGCCGGGATCATCAGAGGGCCGGCGGAAGGATCGACCGGCAGAACGATCGGATGCAGATCCTACGGGAGAAGGAGGGGATGGAGCGCGGCCAGATCGCGTACGTCGACGTGAAGAACGAGAGGATCGACGGCCACGTGATCGTCGATCGGCTATGCGCGATGGAGAGGCTCTGCAACGAGAGGATCGAGAACAGATCGAACTCCGGAATGGATTCGTGCAACTCGAACGCCGATGAAGATCCCGCCGGCATCGAGATCGACGCCGGTCTTCACGGGGACAGGGAGAGGGACGACGGTGTCCTCGGCGGCGAGCACGTCACGATATTACAGCAGGACAGACGGTACGACCTTGGATGCAGAAACGTCATGCACACGTCCGTCGAGATGACGATCCAAGGGGAGAGAGAGGCGGCGGTCGAGCGTGTCGTCGACAGGATAGGCGAGAGAACGACCGCCTGCTCCTGCGGCGACGAGCAGTGCTTAGGACCCACATGCAGGACCATCCAGGAGAAGGAGAAGCCGCAGCTCAAGTTCAGCGTCAACGCTATACTTGGCGGCAATCATGACAGGCGACCGCATTCTGGTAATTGTTCAGTTCACTTCGCAGCCACGTGTGCTCTTCCTACCGAGCTACCCGCGACCCGCTGGAAACCGTTTCGATTAAATTAGGATCGAGTATTAGGACCAGCGAGACCAATCAGTTTCCTTGTCCGGGGTATAAAAGCTGTTCGAAATCTAATCACGAGATCTAAGCTCTGCTAGTTTCGTATCGTAAATAGGGAAGATTTGATGGAAAAAGAAAACAAAAGCAATACCGCGTATCCAGTTAAATAATGATATTTTATTCTAAGTATGTATACGTGCTATTTTATGTCCTTTATATCCAACTCAAACAAAAAACTCAACGTACACAAAATAACTGCCGAGGAGTGACGATGCCTCTGGCCACCAAAGAGAACTATGATCGTTGAATGCCAACAACATTGAAATCTTGAGCAATCCTTGATCATTTGCGTGTCACAATAATCTTCTTCGATTGTGACACGTAAATTGGAAAGCAAATAGTAGAAGATTACTCGACGATTTGTATTACAGCCGAACAATTTGTAATTTTATCTACGAATTTAATACATGTACTTAAGCGAATCTGCTTTAGGATGGCAGTAATTAATTAATTTTTTAAGGGACGTCCTCAGAGAAGTTAGAAATACGAAGCTGGTGACAGTGTCCACTCGTTGCAAATCTTTCCAAGTACGAAAAGAGTGATAACAATAACAATATAAGTTTTCTTCTTAGAGGTTTCTACAAAGTATTATTGACAACCATACTACCTCGCATTGTTTACTGCCAATCACATTCGGGTTTACGGAATAACACTAAACATTCTTACTTAACAATGTCATTAGAGTACATTCAGGTTTACCGGGGCATACTAAACATTTTTACTGAAACGGAATAGTTATTTTTATTTCGTAGTATGTTCTAAATAACGATGATTCTTTAACCACTTACCCTACGAGTCAGACTCTTGACGATAATTCCGTAAAATTGTTCTCCGAAATTCCCCACGAACGTTATTCATTTCTTCAAAACCAAAAGAAAATTTGATTCTTCTATTACCAAAGTCTAAGAAGACGTAGAAATATTAAGTAACGCAGCTGTGAAAGGGTTTAAAAGAACTTCTGCAGATTTTGACGTCGAAAGTGTAATAGCAATTTTCATCCCATTACAATGGTTAATCGAGGCTAGATCATCGTCGCAGCAGTAGCAGGATCACAATAGACTTTTCGCATTGACGATCGCGTCAGAAGAATGTTAGTCATGCGGCAGCATTTAGAGTGTTGAAACAAAGCTCACCACAAATCAGTGTCGCTAGCAGACTTCTGTCGTCGGTCCCTAAATCTCATCCGCACACCCTCAAGACGAGTCGCAGCGTGCGTGCGGGGTGGAGCAGGACGTCAGCTGGTCCGCCACTTACCTTCACCCCAATATTAAGCCCTTACGATTGGTGCCTATAATATTAGACAAGCGGCAGGATCCAATGATGTATTACCGTGCCTCTTATCGCGTTTCCTTATTCACAGTAATTCTGCCGGCGTCGACATGAAATTGGGCGAACCATTTACCGAACGTTTCGCTTTATAGCGTACTACTGAATTACAGGTCTCCTACCGGAGCCACGTTGTCCAATTGTCTGCTGCGGCGAGCAGATCAAATTCATGCACAAAATTCGTAAGAGAAAGCTCACAGGATGGGCCCAGTCGTTTCATTCTGTTGACTTTTGTGCCGAATTAACTTATTAAATTTGTAATTATTACTTTTTCGGTAAATGAAAGTTACTTGTTGAGTCGACCGTGTATATTGTAACTAACAACAATAGTTTGCTGTAACTGATCATTTGTGTTCTTAAAAGATTAAACTAATAGTCTGTCGCAATTAATAATTTGTGTTCCCAGAAGACGAAACAACGCGATTTACGTTCGCAGAAAATTGGGTTTTTAATTACGGTTTAGAAGATGTCGATCCTAGTGATAAATTAACACGCTTTGAGAATAGTACTAATCGTTTCAAGATGATGAAACATGAAAATAAGTTTATCTGTTCGTATGCACGCTCTGGATTTGCAGATATGACCAACTATCGATATTAAATAATAACGAAGTCCGTCAATGGCCACGAAATCAACACAATTTTACTAACAGCTTCACGGATTCTTACATTCAAAACCATTTTCACTGCTTCTCTCATCTATTTGCCCCGTCGATCCTCGATCAACCCGATTCTCAATCTACAAACAATAAGAGAAGTCGAGCGATTTTTCTAACAAAACTTCAGCCCGGCTCAGCGTCCTTACAGTAACCACCAACGAACCTCGCGGCTTTATCAGCATTTTCGAAAGAAAAAGCCGCGGTATCATGACCACTCCAATGTACATCAACCGTGCGATCTCTTGGACTCGCATCCCCATCGTTCTTTTTTTTCTCCACCCCACTTTCTGCGCCGGTAACGAGTGATTGACACGAGTCGATAAAGTTCATGCACGTACGATAAACACGTAAACGTAACGCAGACCACGGGAGACCGACGGCGAGAGGAAGAGAGACAGCTCGACCAGCGAGGGGAGAGGTCGATGCACAGAAAAAGAGAGACGGAGGGAGAGAAAGAGGGAAACAGAGAAAGAGAGAGCCGGGGAGCTGGAGAGCAAAAAGAGGGTTGGAAAGAGAGGACCGCGAGATGGTCCGTCAGAGGATGAAGGTAGATAGGTGGAGAGGCAAATGTTGCATTTAACATTGGCGGATTGCATGCATGCATCGGTAGAAGAGGAACGCTGTCGAGCAGCGAGAGTGAGAGAGCGGCCAGGGGGGTGGTTTCCAGAGGGGGAGGGATAGCGATGGTAGCGAGTAGTCGGGGAAATTTGGTGCGCTCGAAATACGGGGGTGGGGTTTCATGCATTTGTCGGATAGCGGATGCATTGACCGTGCCACGTGCATGTGTTACATCCCTCCCCCCTCCTCCCCCGCCCACCCCCCTGTGCGAATCCATCGCCTCCGATAGACCCTCCACCGTCCATGAGCTGTCCTCCCCTCTCCAAAAACCCCCTCTGAAAAACCCACCCCATCGTACTATCGTTCGCTCCGGTCGGTTTTGTACGTCATGTCGAAATGTTGTGAAATAATTGCGCGAAAAAGTGATTGGCAACAAACTCGAAATTCATCGACGGACACGAACGAATGCGTGGGCAGCGCCGGGGGCGGCGGCGGATCGGGGGACGCCGCCGAGCCTGTAGTGGATGGGCGTTTGACGGGAGAGCGACGTTAAATTTCGAATAGCATTTTCATCAATCGTTGTGCGATTTACCAGGTTCTCGCACTCTTTTCGCGACCCCTCCCCATCTCTTTCTCTCGCACTATTTTTCTCTCGTCCTCTCTTTTTTGGTCGACGATCGGTGCGATCGTTTCTCTTCAATGCCACGCTCCCGCGATCGTCCGCCTCGTTCCCCGCTGTTTGTCGCTATTATTGATATATTTCGATAGCGACGCCACGCGAAACCACTGTGCGCGACGATGAAACCCGTGTCCGCTGTGCGGTATCCCTTCAGATTTTACGTATTCCTCGAATCTCTCCTCACAGGAAATGATATTAATCCACTGCACTTGAACGGTGATCCTGAAACGCCACTAAAAATTGTTACATCACGTTTCAACATCATTTTAACAAGACATAATTTCGTACCCATAAAATCCACTAAAATGGATATACTGTAGGTCTGAAACACTATTTTGGACTGAGAGTTACAACAGCTTCGAGTACAAAGGGTTGGTGTGACTTTGAACTCGCACGCCTATTCATCATGTGTTTTCGCCCATTTTCATTCGGAGCCACAACGTTTTGTAAAAATATTTCGTTTCGTTGCGGAGAAAATGTACATCGGAGAAAATTTACGTAGAGTTAAATAAACATTTTAGTACTAGTGTCAAAAATTCGGACAATAAGGCGTTAATTTGGCGGGCCTATTTTGTAGGTATTACGCACGAATCAGTGAGATAAGTTATTACTTTGTAATTTCAGTTATTACAACTCTTAATGGAAATGTCAACGTTATAGCATGAAGTTGAACCTCCGTTAACCACCGTAGTGCTTTGGGTCATTATATCAACGTTGCGAATGAAAAATATGTATTTTGTTAGGTACTCTATTTAGCACTAAAACTACCCTAAACGCGACTAATGTATATTGATTCACAACAATGACAAAATTCGATTTATTCAAACTTCGAACGAATTCTACTACAATATATGCTGTAATAAAAAAGTTTATCAACAAATCTATCATAAAAACGCTATCTATAATATAAATAATAATATATAATAATATATAATATATATAATAATANCGAACCTCGCGGCTTTATCAGCATTTTCGAAAGAAAAAGCCGCGGTATCATGACCACTCCAATGTACATCAACCGTGCGATCTCTTGGACTCGCATCCCCATCGTTCTTTTTTTTCTCCACCCCACTTTCTGCGCCGGTAACGAGTGATTGACACGAGTCGATAAAGTTCATGCACGTACGATAAACACGTAAACGTAACGCAGACCACGGGAGACCGACGGCGAGAGGAAGAGAGACAGCTCGACCAGCGAGGGGAGAGGTCGATGCACAGAAAAAGAGAGACGGAGGGAGAGAAAGAGGGAAACAGAGAAAGAGAGAGCCGGGGAGCTGGAGAGCAAAAAGAGGGTTGGAAAGAGAGGACCGCGAGATGGTCCGTCAGAGGATGAAGGTAGATAGGTGGAGAGGCAAATGTTGCATTTAACATTGGCGGATTGCATGCATGCATCGGTAGAAGAGGAACGCTGTCGAGCAGCGAGAGTGAGAGAGCGGCCAGGGGGGTGGTTTCCAGAGGGGGAGGGATAGCGATGGTAGCGAGTAGTCGGGGAAATTTGGTGCGCTCGAAATACGGGGGTGGGGTTTCATGCATTTGTCGGATAGCGGATGCATTGACCGTGCCACGTGCATGTGTTACATCCCTCCCCCCTCCTCCCCCGCCCACCCCCCTGTGCGAATCCATCGCCTCCGATAGACCCTCCACCGTCCATGAGCTGTCCTCCCCTCTCCAAAAACCCCCTCTGAAAAACCCACCCCATCGTACTATCGTTCGCTCCGGTCGGTTTTGTACGTCATGTCGAAATGTTGTGAAATAATTGCGCGAAAAAGTGATTGGCAACAAACTCGAAATTCATCGACGGACACGAACGAATGCGTGGGCAGCGCCGGGGGCGGCGGCGGATCGGGGGACGCCGCCGAGCCTGTAGTGGATGGGCGTTTGACGGGAGAGCGACGTTAAATTTCGAATAGCATTTTCATCAATCGTTGTGCGATTTACCAGGTTCTCGCACTCTTTTCGCGACCCCTCCCCATCTCTTTCTCTCGCACTATTTTTCTCTCGTCCTCTCTTTTTTGGTCGACGATCGGTGCGATCGTTTCTCTTCAATGCCACGCTCCCGCGATCGTCCGCCTCGTTCCCCGCTGTTTGTCGCTATTATTGATATATTTCGATAGCGACGCCACGCGAAACCACTGTGCGCGACGATGAAACCCGTGTCCGCTGTGCGGTATCCCTTCAGATTTTACGTATTCCTCGAATCTCTCCTCACAGGAAATGATATTAATCCACTGCACTTGAACGGTGATCCTGAAACGCCACTAAAAATTGTTACATCACGTTTCAACATCATTTTAACAAGACATAATTTCGTACCCATAAAATCCACTAAAATGGATATACTGTAGGTCTGAAACACTATTTTGGACTGAGAGTTACAACAGCTTCGAGTACAAAGGGTTGGTGTGACTTTGAACTCGCACGCCTATTCATCATGTGTTTTCGCCCATTTTCATTCGGAGCCACAACGTTTTGTAAAAATATTTCGTTTCGTTGCGGAGAAAATGTACATCGGAGAAAATTTACGTAGAGTTAAATAAACATTTTAGTACTAGTGTCAAAAATTCGGACAATAAGGCGTTAATTTGGCGGGCCTATTTTGTAGGTATTACGCACGAATCAGTGAGATAAGTTATTACTTTGTAATTTCAGTTATTACAACTCTTAATGGAAATGTCAACGTTATAGCATGAAGTTGAACCTCCGTTAACCACCGTAGTGCTTTGGGTCATTATATCAACGTTGCGAATGAAAAATATGTATTTTGTTAGGTACTCTATTTAGCACTAAAACTACCCTAAACGCGACTAATGTATATTGATTCACAACAATGACAAAATTCGATTTATTCAAACTTCGAACGAATTCTACTACAATATATGCTGTAATAAAAAAGTTTATCAACAAATCTATCATAAAAACGCTATCTATAATATAAATAAATATATATAATAATATATAATATATATAATAATATATAATATATATAATAATATATAATATATATAATAATATATAATAATATAAAAACTATCTATAATCCCAGTAATTGTGAAAGAAAAAATTAAGAACTAGTCATTTTCACTGGTCTAGTAGTTGCAGCATTAAACAGGACTTGATATACGACTATATAGTGATGAAACAAGTTGATGGAACAAACGTCTTTAATCATCATAATCGTCAGCAGTTTTGGTACGACTAAAAGTGCAAATTGTTAAAAAGTTGCCAGAGGATACCAGCCAATAGCGTTCCAAGACATTTCCCCGACGAAAGACATCGACGGCAGCAAAAGTCATAGAATCAAGATATCCTGATCTCTGCCTCTCGTGCACGCCGACCGATTTTCGATTAGCATAAGCGAAAAGGAACTGGCATACTCAATTCGCTCACTACTGAACGTGGAAGCATCGTCTCCGACATCGGAGAGTGGCACAGTAGGTGAACGCGTCGTTTCCTGGCGCGCATAAATCGGTCGACTCCCCATTCCCGGGGAAACCTGCAGCAGTGTCTACTTAATAATGCATCAAATACCCTAATCCCAAAGAATAACCACCGATATGTTGTCCCGCGACCGCGTTGGATCAGACTGGGGCATATAAGGGAGGGTCTTTAAGCCCGGGCATTAAAAACGAGAAAGAGAAAAAAACCGCGCAGACCGCTACAACTGTAACAACACGCTGTTCCGGATACTTTCAGGGGTTTAATCTCCAGCGAGAGAAAGAAAGAAAGGGAGAGAGAGAGAGAGAGAAAGAGAAGAGACACCGCGAAAAAGGGAGTCGAAGGAGGTGGAGCAGCTTAAAAAACGATTCCCATTCAGTGTTTCCGTTGGGGGTTAAGCCGTTATTAGTTGGCCCAGGGCTTGCGATCCTTGCCGGGTCGGTCCTCTTATTGGCTGGCTACGAAAACAACGATAAAAGGCGATGAGTATTTTATGGGGTACACGGACACAATAGGACCTCGTGTATGGACCATTGTTCGAGCATTGTCTGGCCGAACGCAAGGCAATTCTCCATCTCTCTCGCACTCTCTCTCTCTCTCTCTCTCTACTCTTCCTGTCTGGCTTCTTGGTCCCTGTAAACCCGAAGACCCTCCATTATTTTAGTATTTTCCAAACACGTCACTTTCTGCCCTGGTCGTATGGGCGTGGTCGAGAGGAGACGAAGAAAAAGTATGTTAAAAATTATCGGAGTGTGTCAAACCCTCTTTGTGGCAACGTGTAAACGATTGCCTGGTTAGTTTCGTAGCCCCGTGGGCCTATTAACTTGAGTTTATCACTTGAGTGGCTGAGCGTTCCGGGGATGCGGCTAGGGGGATGTAGATAACGGATCATCGAGTGCACAAGAGATCGTTTTTGTAGGACAGACAGTTAAATTGTACGTACTCTTTGAACTTCGAGCTTACTGTAATTACTAGTGCTATTTCAGAACTTGATGTCGCCATTAATAATTATTCGATTGCTACTTGTTCTCCTAAGGGTACTATATTCGTTAAGAAAAATAAGAAAAAACCGTCGGTTGTTTTCTTGAACCTAATATAAGTAATATTTACGACGTGTATAATCATTATTGAATATAATCATATAATATAATCATCATAATTTAATACAATCATGTTATATTCAATGTAAATAATGCATTTATACAATAATTATGTACAATATACATAATGCAATATCAATATTGTTATAACATAAATTTTACAACACTAATAATTTTCTGAATGTCTAAAAAAGAGAACAATTTTTTAAATCGACCAGGAAGTTTCTCATGGTGATCTTAGAATGGTAATAATACAATTAATTTCCATCAGTGAATACATTTCTTGCATCGTGCACGCTTGCAAGTATCATAAGTGCATACAGATCCGCAATCTAGTAATATTATATTTACTATGTCCTTGGAAACAATAATATTAATTTGCCAAGGATCAGATTTCATTTGTACAATTATGGCAACATTAAAGATTTGTATTACTGGAGTAATAATCCAAAGTGATGAACTTCTCTTTTGATAGCCCAGTGACCGAGCTGTTATTATGATCCCGAAAAAGGCTACGCCATTCATCGTCGGGGTCCGTAGAATGATTCGAGTTGATCGTGTCACGTGTGTAGACGGATTCCTAGCCACGGAAGATTAAATATAACCAAGGTGTTCTCACGCACCGAATATCCGAGTATTTACTCTGGAGGTGTTGAAGCGTGCGTCAACAAGAGGTCGGACTCCGCCCGGAGCTGTTGAGGAGGGTTCAGTCGGGGGTGTCAGCTCGAATTATGCATCGCAAGGAATCCAGCGATCTGAGCGTTCTGTCGTGCGAAAATCCGGTACCTTTCACGGGTGGCTCGTCCCTAAAACGCGGCCGATTTACACTAAATTAAGCATCTTCGAAAATGATTTCTTTGCGTAGCTTCAAACAAAGCGTAAGATCGCTGGTAATATCTTTAAATTTCTCGGATCATCAGAAACTCGAGCGAAACAGGAAGTAACGCTTTGAAGAAACCATGAAACGACAGAACGTTGGAAATAATTAGAACAATTTAGTGAAATATTGTATCGATACAGATTTTATGATATAAAAATCGTTGGTTTTGAAATCACCATAATAATCAGCATTTTTGTTATGTCCCCTGAAAGGGTTAAATTGTTCGTTTACACTACAACTGCAAAATCAAAATGAGTGATTTCTGTTCTTTTTCTTATCGATAGCAAAAAATGTTTCCGTAAGAAATTTTTAAATAAATTTCTTTATTCAAGCATATCCTGTCAGATAAACCGTATCGAGTTGAAATAAATCCGATCTTGTCATTGTTATAAAATAATACACATTGGTCGCGTTTACAGTTTTAATGTGTATCTGAAAATGTGGGAACGAAAGGCTGGAACATTGATGAAACCGAGATCTTGTAAATTTTGTACTTCGTTTAGGAAGAGTTTTGAATTAACGAATCGTGTTGTGATCTGTTGCAGAGAATTTTCAAAGTCTTCCACCAGAGGCGATACCAGCGTTCCTCCAAAATTTACAGAATTCAGCGAATTACAATATTGCGAAACCCATCGCGAGACCAGCACCTTATCACCCGTACCACAGGCCGAGTCATCAACCACCTCAGCGTCATTTACCACCGAACACGCACCACACGCTCCAACAGTTGTTCTATAGGGGACCTTATCTGACTGGTATGTACTGCATAATTCTCATTCACAGAACTAGCTATTAAACCCACAAACCGTGTTATTCCATCACACTCGTTTCTCTCTGGAACCGCGCAACAAACGTCGAAAGGTACAGTTGAAGTGTCAATTGTTTGTTCGACGTCGCGGTTGACGTTCAAACGAGATTCGAACTTCGGACTCCTAATGTTCTACTAATTTTAGAACACGAATTACCAAGTAAATACATGTGATTTTGTTTGAAGTACTATGTGAACGATACTTATTTTCTTCTACATAAAATTATGTAACACAGAAGTTAAAAGATACAGTATTAATTAAGAAGAACAAAACGCTCTCGTTTCTATTAAAGATTGTTAGATAACATTGTTACAAACATACAAGAGTACAAATGTATCTTGTTTGAATTAAACCGCGGATTTTACGCATTTATTGCAGTTTTTATTGGCAAAAAGTGGCACAGAAAAATCAAATCGTGGTAAAACTCCTGAAAGAAACTTGTTTCGATTCCTTAATTTCTTGAAATTGATATTCGTATGAAAACCCTCATCTACGAGCTCAGCATCTGGTAACAAAGATTCTTCTTTAGCCCTATATATCATAAAATAACCTACATACGAAATTGACGTAATTTATTTGTTAATACCAGGGTGGAATCTCGATTATCCGAACCTCTGACACCCGAATTCACTGTTTTATCCAAACACGTTTCCCATGTAAACAGAGTATAAACGTTTTATTGAAATGTAAATTCAAAATATTTAAAATTTCTGAAAACAAGCAGTAAGGACATAATTTAGCACTGTACCTAAATTATCCTATTATCCGTACGTTCACGTTCTTACGATTGGTTCGGACAACCGTGGCCCTATCGTATCATTTTATGCAAGCTGTGGCAACGTTTGCGACCGTCCACTACGAAACGCATAATTCTTGTTTACTGGTCCGCACGAGTTGGTCGCGAGCAGGCGTTAAAGTGAATATAAAACTGGCCAGGTTCGCCGGTACGAAGGGTTTTCGAGCAGGGAGGGTGGGTAATTTTCGTGAAAATGTTCGTCATTATTATTTCGGGTCCGGGACCAGAGGGAAAAGTTAATAAACAAGCCGGACGATAGGCGGAAACACGGTCTCGATGAACATTTAAAACCGAAACTTCCGCACATGGCGCCAAACCGTATGAACGCGGGCACGTGCACGGAGGGCACCGGTTTATCGAATATCTTGTTATAGGTAGGCTCGTACGGGACATGGAGTGCATATGAAGTGCAGTGAAAGCACTACCATATTATGTACATGCACCGCCACAAGCAAAATGCACGCATGCAACAAGTGCGTGCAAATATCATCGGCGCAGATAATACCGTCATGCTCAGCTTGGCAATATTGTGCAGATACGATCTAGAGATTCAATTGCCCGTTCGTTATTAGATGACTTTGATTCAATTACCGGCCGTGTGGCTCGGCTCTTTGATATACGACCAATAAATTTCGGTTGTTCGCCGTTCTTTTTCCGGGGCCCGTCGATTCGTCCACCGTCATTTGCTTCCTTCATAATTCCAGATGCGTACGAAGGTCCGCGGTCTGCTAAACAAATTCGATTTGTACAATTGCTATGGTTAAAATGAATTTCGAAATTAGAGAAATTGTGTCATGCGATCGACGCACGGTGACGATCAAAAATCTGCAGGTTTGCTTCTGCTTTATATATCATAGTGAGAAGTTAGTTGTTTTACGTTAGTTGAGAAGTTAATTATTACGTTACAGTCTTTGGGTTCTATTAATTTAAATGATATTATAAGACTATTACCACTTACGTAGTAGTGTGTATAGTAATATGCAATACTCTTTTTATTTAATATTTCCAATGTTTCGGATTTCAACCTATCGCACGAGTAATTATAATCGTAATTATACCGTGTTTGGTGTTATTTGGGTAAGAAAAAGCGAGACTAATACGATGATAAAAATTCGATTTTCAATTAACCAAAAACAAGAAATAATATAATTAATTGTTCTTCTTAATTAATTGTGCTAATCTTTTTTCAGTTCACGATTTTACAAAAATCGGCTTACGAAATTTTCTTTCGCTTTTCGTTAATTTTGGTAGATCGAAAGTAATGCAACGATGCTCTTCAATTTTGTTTTAATACTGCTCCAAATTGCAGCTACTTATTTCCGTCGTAAATGCATAAAATCTGCAGTCTAATCATTAGAATTTGGGACGCTTAATTCTACTTTGGCGCAGTTTCGGTCTCATTAATTAAACTACTTTGATTTTGTGGGAGCAGCGGTCGTGTTGAATGATGTTCATAGAGTTATGGCTTCTTGAGAAATTCTGGTAGAATTCTGATTACGTTTAAGATTTATTCCACTGAGGGACATATACGAAGAGGAACGGTGTAGATTATCAAGGATTATTGAAAGTCGGCAAGAAAAGTATAATATTACGATTACGTTTTAACGACGATTTAGAACTGGCCGCAGTTTCATGGACATTTTCATTCAAGTACTCTACAATGTATGTGAATTGTTCATAGAAACTTTGGCCCCTGAATGGCTCTAATAGAAGTGGAGGGTCGTTAAATATGGTGATCCTGGTGGCCAGTATGTGGCATTAATCGACTTTGAAATATGTTCTACTAAAAGTTAATGGTTCTTTGCCGAGCTATTCGTGAGAAACAAAATGGTGGCTGCTAAATAACTTCGATGCCAACAAGTAGGTTATAGGTTAAACAGGAACGAATTTTCTTCGCTAAAAATCCGAATAAAGTGCTATCCGAAATATATTTTCAAACCGTAGCAAAATTTTCTTGCTATTCTTCCATCTCATGTGTTCATTAATTTGAACAATGAATTAAATGAGCGAACGTATCGCTGGAACGTTTAAAAGACTATCTTGTGCAGAATTCTGTCAAAATGTCTACATAAAAGCTCCGGTAAAAAAGCACGTGGAATTGTGGAAAAATGAACGCTTTATAATTTATAACGTGCAAGACCCGATTTCGTAAGGCCAACGTTCTAAACGAGATTCATGTGTGATCGTCAGTTGCTGGTTCCGGGACCGGAGGTCATCATCCAGGTGCTCCTGGGGGAGGGGCAGCGTTCCCAGGTGCGATTCAAGGTGGCTTGGGTGATTTCGCGGGCACGGGCTTGGTGTTTCCATGGGCGACGAACGCGCGCGGCAAACCTCGCAGAGGGATGATGCGGAGGGCAGTTTTCTCTGACCTTCAGAGGCGTGGGCTTGAGAAGCGGTTTCAGCTTCAAAAGTACATCAGCAAGCCCGACCGCAAGAAGCTCGCCGAGAAACTTGGCCTCAAGGACTCGCAGGTAAGCCATTCTCTTTCTTTTTCTCAGGAAAGGTGTTTTCGTATAAAAGACTGCGACGTGGTAATGAGAAATAATGCGTACCACTTTGACGGCATTTCTTTGGCTCCGTACCTCCGTTGGAGTCTCGAGTCTATCTTGTCTTAACTCTTTTGTTAAAAAATCTTTCCAGCAAATTTCTCGTCAGATAAATTTCGTACACTAAAATCTGTGCAAGAAATTTCATAGTCTATAGTATTATATTTATTGCAAATATTTGAATTCAGGGATATTCAAGTCGGTCTTATGATGTACACCAATGTTAAATAAAAATATCCTCTTTTTCTGGCGAATGAGTAATCGAAGCCACTTTCGTTAATCGGTCTGTTTTGCTTATTTTACCAAACTGATTATATTATATAATGATTGTAGGAAACGTTGGAATGAAAAAGAAAATAATTTTAAATTGCGATTTTAAAAGATGCGTCTTGAATCCGCTGGTAGAAATAGCGCTGTATTAAATTGTTAAAACGTGTCCTTCGTTTGACCCATTTGGTCAAAATATCGCTGCGCTGAGATTTTTAAAGCTGCCTTTTTATATATCCCCTTTCGTACAATTGGTGTTGTACAAAAATTTTAAAACGTGTCCTTCGAATCCTTCGGTAAAGATAGTGTTTTAAAAATTTTGTTTGTTAGAAATTTTACACCTGAAACCTGTCCACGTTGATTTCATTTACAATATAGTGACAGTATCAAAAGAAATGCCCGTCACTCACACTGACTTACGCCATAGAACTGCGGTTGCTATAATCACGGGGCGCAGAACGTGTCCATCAATTCGGTAACATTAATTTAGGATCGCCCACTCTAATGGTTATACAAGATAATGATATCGAATATGTCACATTCAGGTAATCTTTCGCGTATTATAATGCGCGCATGCGTGTCACGGTCAAGCGGCTGTCCGATAGCCGTGTGAAGGATTAACGTAATGCTCGATACCTCGTTAAACGATCTTAACAGCGTATTAATTTCTAATTTAGCCTAGCCGTGTTCTTCTTTACCGTCCATAGTTCGCGTTTAGTAATTATCAGCAAATTAGCAGACACCGCTAATTTATTCATAGACCGTTCAACGCTCTAGAATCCCATTCGCATCTGTTCCTTGATATTTGACAACGTTCCCAATGAGCAATGATCGAATACAACTTTACCATTCGCTTCCAGCACAAAGTGTTTTTTCACAATTTACTTTCTATTTAATTAACACCTTGAATTATGTCATTTAATTCATGCTAATAGCCCCGCATAATCGGGGAATTAATTCGTGCGAGACGGGATAGAAGGTGGCCGCAGAATATATGGTGCTTAATGACCTTATTAGGGCACTAATTGTCGCTTTAACGAAGTATGAAACCCTCTGCTCCCAACGGAGAGCATTTAATTAACCGACGACGGCGCTGCTGCTCTCTCATGACTCTATTCAACGGATTGATAGAGACTAATGCTCGGGGACTCGAATGAACCGACATCAACTGAATATACACCGGAAACTAGATTAGCGTAACCGTCGCAGGTGGAAAAACATGAAAACCGGTCTATTGTTCTTATTTGTCCTGACATAGTCAATTAACGAATTAGTTCAACGAACTCTTCGAACGATTTCATTGTCACTGTTCGCGCGACTTTCTTGACTGTCACGTCGTTCGTTTTATTCTTTCGCGACAAGCTGATTTCGTTTACACAAAAATAAATGTTAATCCTTTGATGATAGAATTTTTTAGGATTAGTTTGCTGATTTTAATTTACGATGAGACATGCTTTGGATGAATTTTCGTGTGTTATGTGACATCTACAATGATTCCTCGAAGGATGATAAACGAAATAAGTGTTTCTTAAAATGACATGATGGCAGCTGTTAGTATTCTTATCAATGTTAGTATGATTTTGGTGCTTAGTAAACTGATAGTGTAAATCAAGTGCACAACTTGGTCTTACTAAACTGTGAATATTTATGCACTTCGAAACACAATATAATTTACCTTCCCCTTTTATCATAAAATACAATTTGAACAACAAAAGTAATTGTTGATTTTTATGAAACAACTGGATTTGCAGGAGAATTGATGATTTTAGTTTCCAGTTAAATTCGCTATAATAAATGGAATTCGAGTACTGAAGAATAAGAATACTGTGAAAAATTATATAACGAATTAATTCGTTCTAGAACCTCGTTCATTATAGGATATATTATTAATTATATCAATTAATTACAATATATATGTATATAATATGTATGTAACATATATTAACATTATAAATTAAATTTATACTATGTATATTTGCATATTTCGTGTATTCTTTTTCTTTTCATATTAAATTTGTCTTATTTTGTGTGAAATCATTGTATTTTTAGTAATAACTGTGCTGTATATTTGGTACTAATATAAAAACATGCAAATATACATAGTATAAATTTAATTTATTATATTTAAGTGTTATATATATTATATATACTTAGAACATATGTGTAAATTCATAAAAAATGATCAAGAAGAGTACAGAAAGGAGTCATCAATTCTACTTTTATTGTATTTCCACGCGTTCCTTGTAGACTATTCGTTCGTTGTAACGTCGTCGATATCCTACTGTAATCATAAACATTTCCAAGAATACAGCGCAGCTCGTTATCAGATTGTTATAATGAAAGTTTATCGTGTCGTTGAAACATAGTGTTCGAAACAAAGTGCTCTCCCTCGAAGAGGCGAAATCCTCCGGTCGACAGGGCTAATATATTTTTCGGGGCAATTGTCGGAAACGTTTTCCGTGCGGGAATTCGGCGGGAATCGGCGAACTACGCTCATGAAATCAAATGAAACTAACTTACAGTGCCATTTTCTGGGCATCGTTTAGTTTCATTAGCGTCGCCGCACCGGAGCCGGTCTGCTAGCGACGGCGTCGGGACGTCCGTGTATACACGCGCGGCCGTGTGAGTACACGTGTGCAGCTAATGAACTGGCATCGTCCGATTAACCCCAAACCGTGGGTATTATATGCTCCTAACTCCATGTACACCTACGCCACGGCTCTTTCTCCTATGTACGTACGTCGACGCGAAACGACGATATCTCTCGCGACCGAGTCTGTTCAGCCTTTTCGCTCGCCAAATCATAAAACATCGGGCAAACAAGAGCAAAATCGCGTTAAAACGTCACCGAGAGGAGCGAATTCAATATTTACGATGGGATTGTTAGATACGAAGCAACTGATACTAGAGAACGGCTGAGCTTGGGTCGTTTTGAACTCGGACTATAAATATTGTTATTTGACCATTTAATTTCTGAGAGTTCGTTGAAATTTTCACGTGTTTCATTAAGGTCGAAAACGTTAGAGAACGAGAGCTTTTTATCCTTTTTGTCATTCTAAGTAATTGCGATATTAAGAAAAATTAATTCACAGCTTTGGAAAAATATTTGCGGGATTCGAATATTTTTTGCCAGGGGTGGTAGTGACTACAGTAAACTCTCCCTAATCAACGCTCACATTGTATACAAAAAAGGACAATTTGGGAAGAGGAGATACGATTATTCGAGCCTCGCGGCTCGTTTTTATAGTTATCGATTATCAACAATTACAAAAACGAGGTGAAAGGCTTGAATAATTGTATCTCCTCTTCCCAAATTGTCCATTTTTATTTGCAAGATGAAGGAAAATTAGGGAGAATGTGCTATAATTCGGTAGAAGCAGACGGTTGATCATTCACAAATTTAAACGTTTGTACTTTTCAGTTTTACAAAAATGTTCAATGTTTGTTTTCATTGTATGAAATCGTTAAAAATACTTTAGATGAATTTTTGGACACGATACGGATTTCCCTGATTTGTATTTTAGTTCTAGGTTTCGTTGAACACGGTTTCGATACAACACAGAACGAATCTATCATGTTATAGATAGGTCGGCTGTACTCTGGATTATGAATTTCTAGCTTCAATATTGCAATGTAGATTGCGTAGAATTGAATTAGTTCCATATGCAGGGTGAGGGTGAGCACGAATTTGGACAATCATGAAGGACCAAGGCAATAAACCTTACAAATCTTCACAAAACTGATCTTGGACAATTTGTGAAACAAGTTGTACTTTGGATTATGAATTTGTTGCATCAATATTGCAATGTAGATTGCAGAGAATTGAGTCATTTCCTCATGCAGGTTGAGCCAAGTATCATGGCACATGTTTTCTTGAAAATTGTGAGTTACGTCGACTTAATTAAAGATTCTTTTTTTTGTAAAGACCTACCAAAATCTTACTGAAACAATAAAGACTTTTAATGTATCTGACGTGTAGTTATGACGTGTAGTTATTTCTAGTAAAACAGGCATGTAGGTAATATTCACAAATACTGCCTAACTGCATATTTTCACTGACATAGTATTAAAAAGTCAACAGAGTTTGTATATTTATAACGTCAATTGAATATTACTTTCTTCACAGAGCTAATAAATAGACTGCGGATGCGTATGCAAAATAAAATCTGTCTGCATTCGTTTCAATATAGAACAGTTGTATACATTCATTTTTGTCTTAAAATTTCGTTTAGTAACAAGTAATAGTTAGATGCATCCTTTCATGATCGTCAAATTATTTAAAATTTATTTATGTACAAGAATATAATTTTTAAAATTGTATATCGTCAGCGACTGATGCAGTCCGAATGAAAAGTACGGTGTCGGTCACGGGTGACTGGCATGGCTCTTAACATGTTAATCATTTTAACGAATTTAAAATAACACAACATTATCTAAAATATTCTTTAAATGTTTCCAATGCTTCGCATATGATCTACAGATTTTTGCCATAAACGCGTGCAATTCACTGTCCAATAAACTAAGAAATGTATTCATTCGATCTTTCACCTTAAAATGACGTCTCGGAGACTTTTCGAACCTTAAAATCAAATTAAGTACGATTGCTACCAAATCAGTGCAATGTTGGACCCAGAGTTTCTTTTTACCGCAGCAAATTG